TAATTAGCAAGCAAACAATTTTAAAAATTAAAGAAATAATAAAGAACAATATTAAACATGAAACGATTATAAACAAATTAAACATATTATAGAGGAATTAAAATCATAAATCATATTATGAAACTTTGGGAAAGAGTTATCGTAAATAAGAATAAGACTTGCAACAAATATCTCTGTAAATAGCATAATATTCAACAACTAAAGGCCACTAGTGTGAACAGTAACCCAGTCATGAGTTTTGGCTGGCTCAGTTCAAGCAACAAAGTGATTGAATTAAGTCCATAGAATCATTGGCATTTTGTATGCATCGCACAAAAAACAAATCAAGACATTTACCAGGACGGGAACCATCAGCAATGGCAAAAGAAAGAGTTCTTATGTGATCAGCGACCACTCTGTAAGCCATGTCAACTTTGTCCACATCATCTGCCCCAACCTTGCCAGAGTATGGCAGAGCCCCTGTTACCTGCCACAACAACAACAGGGAAATCTCCTCAAGAAAACATATCATGCACTTCAGAACCCATCAACAATATCTGATTAATTGAAAACATACTTGTTGAATAGCATCAAATATGGGCAAGAATACATCTGTATCATAGTTGCTCATTTTATTCTGAAGAATCGAAGTCAATCTTTCAAAACCCAACCCTGTATCAACATGTTTCGCCGGTAAGGACCTTAAACTACCATCACTTTCCCTGTTAAACTGCAAAAGAAGTAGCAATAAATACCATGAACTCAAGACAAATCTCTGTACAAAAGACAAGAACATGAAAAACTTAAGCAAAAAGGACAGGAATATCCAATTTCATACCTGAATAAACACAAGGTTCCAGATCTCAATGCAAGTAGGATCATCATTATTGACCAAGGAAGCTGCATCACGATTGCCAAGGCGATCAAAATGAATTTCCGTGCAAGGTCCACAAGGGCCAGTATCACCCATCTCCCAGAAGTTGTCCTGTTAAACATGCAAAGAAACACTGAGACAAAAATATGCAAGAACTGTTTTTTTCTTTAATGAGCACAATATGTCTGCTTGCAGTATAGACAGCATGTCCAGAAGCTAAAAGGATTCTAAACAATATTCAGGTAGCAAAAATGTACTGAAAAAATAAAAACTAACAAAAAGTTGATATGAACAGTGATGAGCATGATCAATAACAAGAATAAAAAACATATTCTGCAAAAGAGACTTTAAAGTCACAACCAAAACAGTGATGTGTATGTGCTTCAACTCCATAAACTGTCAGCATATTATACTTTACATGTGCATCATTTTTGGTAGTCTGCTGGAACTTATCAGCATTTACCAAAGTGTCGCCCATTAACTTAAAACACATCCCAGATCAATTTTATGCCAGCCAATCAAGACAAATGTATAACCCATTTGAACATTCTTGTCAGCTTCCACCATTGATTTCATCTTTGTTAGTTTTGAGAATTAGGTTCCATCAGCTGTTCCACGCATGTATACCTTTAAAATGAATATTTAGGCACTGTAGCAAAATCGTCATTTCCGCTTCTTCCAAACTTTTCTCAAATTAGTCATGAGACTTCTTAAGCAACTCCAAGCAGTGAAATTTTCCCAAAGCCCAGGTGTAATAGCTCACAGCTTACATATCAAAAAAGAAACTCACATAATTTTCTTAAACTACCTATTCATATGCATACATATATACATATATATGTATTGACATACACACTGAGTCTCATGCAATTTCGGGTTGATTTTGATGTATTTGACTCTCCTAGAAGTAAAATTGACACTCAGAAATGCATTAATGGTTTATTATAACTTGAAAAAACTAGTTAGATCAATTAAAATAAGATAATAAAAAACTGTCACAAGTCATCTTTTTATTTTTCCCCTCAACCCAAGAATACAAAATGTCACATGCCTTTTTTTTCATCCCCCTCAACGCAATCACCCTATAAAATGGATACTTTGCATTCATAAATACAAATGGTATACATGATGGTCCATGTAAGGACTGTCTAGACATCTCAAGGCATGTTTATAGCTAGCGTGCCAGCCTAAGCAACCAACAGAGCAACTTTAACCACCACCAATATTCGCAAGTCTACAGAAAATTTAAGATGAATGATCCCAAATTGCATGAGAGTAAACTAAAAGCTATAGGATTTTTTCCACAACAAGCATTTCTAGCTTTGCATAAATTTGCCTTAATTGTGGTAGCTTTAGATGGCTGACATTAGTGGGAAGCCCACAAAATCTCATGAAATGCTATCAAAATCTTCTTTTTTTTACATCTACTTCATACAAATTAAAGATGATTTTCGTTTTCCTCCAGAAGAAAGGTAGAACTTTTTGAAAAATGCTGCAACATAATGCATATTATTTTATATGTCTAAGTGACTTTAATGCCATATTGTGCAATATCACTTGCAATTTTACATATATTACCTTGCAACCAAAAGGCAGCACTCGTTGAGGCTCCAAAAATCTTAGCCACATATCTCTAGCTTCATTATCAGCTGGAAGGCCTAACTTCTCATCACCACCAAAATAAGTAGCATAAATCCTGTCTTTAGGCAATTCATACACCTGCAGATTGATAAGCAAATAACAATTGTCAGCTGACGAACAAGATAAAAACGCTCCACATGATTGACGACTGACACAATGATAAAATAATATCGAGAATGTCTTGTGTTACTTGTATATAGTAATTAACCTAACTGTCTCTTCACAAAGTAAAAGTTGCATCTTTTATCATCCAGTGTCTATTGACGCTGTACTATGGACTTCTAGAACCAATACTCAGATCTGACTCCAACTGCTTGCATATTTTGTTCAATAATACTGGAAATCAAACAATTGCGTAACTTCTAGAAAAACGAAAGGAAAAAAAGAACACAGATCTCTGTATTGGGCGTGACTAATAATATGTTAAGCTACATACCAAAAACCCAGATTAGGTCAAAAGATGCAAGTCTTTTCCACAGTGACATGGAGACTAAGAAAGAAATACTTTTAACGACAAAAAAGAATGAAGAAGTTACGTTAAGAAACAAGAAAGGAACTTGAATCTAGATGTGGTTTAGGACCTCGGTGAGGAGTTCCCAGGCCCAAGTGATGGCCTCAGCCTTAAAGTAATCACCGAACGACCAATTGCCGAGCATCTCAAAGAACGTATGGTGGTAGGTATCCTTCCCGACATCGTCAAGATCGTTGTGCTTCCCTCCGGCGCGGATGCACTTTTGGGTGTTACACGCCCGCCTGAGCCGGCCAAGTGGCGTCGTGGGGTTCACGGTCCCAAGAAAGATCGGCTTGAACTGGTTCATTCCCGCGTTGGCGAAGAGAAGGGTGGGATCATCGAGGGGAACCACGGGGCTCGACCGCCAGTCGACGTGCTCCTTGCCCTCGAAAAAGCGGATGAAGGTTTCCCTCACCTTGGTCGCCGGCCACTCCACCGGTGTCGCCTCGTTGGCCATCTTCACCGCCTGCTTGGGGACGAAGGTAGCGGTGGAGAAGACCGAGGCGCTAACCCTAGCCCTAGGGAAGACGAGGTAGCGGAGCGGCTGGAGAATGGCGAAGAAGACCATGCTCCAACTACTGCCGTCGAAGGATATTTATATTAAATCGGGAGAAAAGGGATAGGAGCACTATGAAACGGTTCCGTCCGTCGCGCTGTGGACGGCTAAGATTGGTCGAACAGCGAGATCAATCACTGCTACAAACCGTTGGATCTCTAGCGATCGCAGGGTCTTTTCGAAACCCTAATTAGTTTGCCGTTATAACGACCGTTTCGAAGATGCTGTGGCCCTGTCGCGAATCACATGATAACATGAACAATATGATTCTTATATCAAATCAGCATTACTTTCTAATTATAACATCTTTCTAACATATTTGAGATGTCAGCTGTTCGTCACACTGATATAGTGATGATTAGATTAATCGAGATATCTTTGTTGGGAATATGTTCCCTTATTGTACCATGGAATAGCAAGAGTCGATTTTTCATTTTTATTGGCGATAAACGAGACTGGTTTCTTATTTTATATTGATGATGAACGTGCATAAGAGTGAGTCCCTTTAATGCCGACCCTGATAAAGCTGGAAGCATGTATTATTATCAAATAAATAACTTGCTTTCATAAGCTAAGCTTTTATTTTGATCGCCTAAGATGATTTGATATATCTTATTATGTCCAAGAGAGAAAATAGAAAGGTGAAAGGAACAATTTGGTTGATAAAACAAATTTCAGATCTTACTTGGGTTTCCTGTTATAAAAGTTACTAATTCAATGGTAAAGTTAGTATATGTTCATCGTAATAAATAGCAAAAAAAATTATTCTTAGTTTAGTAAGTCTGAAATGAAAATATATTCGAATATATCACTTTATATAATATTTATTTGTAATAATCATCAATTATAAAATATTAAATATTTTTAACAAGGGATATGCCTCTTATATTTATATGCCACGTGGCATACCCAATTGACGAATGGATTTTGAGTAAGGGATAGTTTGGGATGTGTTTTGTCTCCTAAACTATCCCTTATCTCCCGACACACTTATCAACTGAAAAATGACTGTGGTAAGATCCAATGGGTAACACACGTCGCGTGTCTAACTAAAAGAAGTTTTGGCAAAGTTAATTTTCTATTAAATGGTTCAAATCTATGACATCGCAATATGACTATTGAAATAAATCAAAAAATTGGGGTATTAATTAATTATTGGTGATCACTTACTAGTTTGAATTCTAAACACAATTAATATATGAAAATATTTAAAAATAGCATTACGAAAAATTCTTAAACGGTGTTTGTTATTATTAATTAAAATTCATTATAAATATATGTACGTAAATAAATAATTTTGAGGGATATATCTGTAATTTGATATCCTCCTCTGTTACCCTCCATCGGACGGTTGTTATCATCCATCAAGAAGGGACCCACGATTCCATCGCATTAAGTTTACGGGAAACGTAACAAGCAAATCATGAGGACCAAATAATTTCTACCCGGAGGCGTAAATTGAAGATTTGTCGAGACTCGGAAGCCCTTCTCGTTAGCCCTCCCTCGTCTCTTCGGCGGGCGCCGTCGCTCGCCGTCGCCCCCCCGAAACCCTAATAATCTTCTCTTTTGGAACCATCGGAGTCCAGACCTTCCGCTCAGGTGATCCCTTCTGTTCCTTCTCGCTTTAGGGTTTTCTCCGAGTAGTGGGGTGCTGAGCTTTTATTCGCTACTGGCTTTTATGGCCTTTTTTTCCATGACCGATCGATTTTCTCTCCTTGCCTTCGAAATCCAAAGATCTTATGTGCTATATTGGAATTGTTTTCTATTGTTTTATTGCAAGAAAAAAAAAACCCTATCTTTGTTGCCCTTTTGCATTTTGTGATGCGGTTTTGGTGGGTTTAGAGTGGAGCACAGGATGGGCTCGTCCCAGAAGAAGATACCTTTCCACAGGCACAGGGAAGCTGAAGAGGCGAGAAAGAAGGTAAGTGGCCTTCAATTTCTCTCAAATGTCGTGGAAGCGAGGGTGAAACTTCTTGATTAACGATCTTTATTTATGTGTGCGATTTTCTTTAATTGCGGCGTACTTTGAAGAGAGAAGAGGATGAAGCTGCTCGTGTTTATGCTGAATTTGTGGAGTCCTTTAAGGGCGATAATACTCCTGGTTCGAAGACGTTTGTCAGGGGAGGGGTCATTGATCCAAATGAGAAGCTTAAGGCCGGCCCAGAAGGTTAGTTATTAGAACGAGAAATTTCTTTTTTGTATCAACCACAAGCTCCTTTTCATTATTTATCTTATGGATGTATGCATTTTCTTATTATATAAGTGCAAATTAATAAAAGGATTGGCCTTATTCATTCGGCAATCGCAGGTGGAAAGTCCAAAGATGGGGTATCTGTTCCAAAGAAGGGAAGTAGGTAAATGAATGTACTTGATTTTCAAAAGGCGGAATCTTGGAGTTAGCCATATTCCATGCTTAGAATAATGAACCCCTTTCATATAATTTGATCAGACTACAATTGAAGGCTGACAATATGCCGCTCATTTAGTAGGAATTAAGCATTCTCGAGTAAATGGTGCTTGAATTAATATCATTTGTTTAATGTTTTGTACATACAAATAATCTTCTTTAGAGATTATTGCATTTGTGATCTTTAAACATTTCGTGTGGAGTATATCTGTTTTCTTTTGTAGTTCAGAGTCTTTCCAGGTTAGGGGCAATTCTATTCTGGTTGATGTAGTCAGTGGGGTCTATTTCCTGCTTAGACTTTATGCTTTGCCTCTCTTGTCGAAAAAGGCGGTGGCTTGTAATCCTCCATCCTCATAGGCCCCGTTGTTAAGACGTAGTTGGACTGTATATAAGTTAATCTCTTGTACATGGCATGCACTAGCTGGATTTTGCAGTTCTTTAAGAATATGCATAGTCATCAACTATCTGGTATGTTTCACTGTAGGAGATGAAAATAAAAAAAAACTTGTTTGTGGTACTGTCTCCACCTTTCGTTGAACTTTGGTGTATCATGTTTTTACTGTAGTCAGTATTATAAAATAAATTTGTTTGATGAGGATTTCGATCTGACACAAATTTATATCTAGGAATGTCAATTGTTATATAATTGTCTTATATTTGATGTGTTTCTTAAGATCTAGCTTGCTTTGCATTATGCAAAATAGTTCACAAGAGGTCTGTTTTTTCCAAAATCATGTGTCACGGATTTTGTACACATGTGACTGAAAAGGTGGAAACAAAGAAAATGACCTGTACTTCTAGTTACTGGTCGCTGCTTTATTGTTGCTGCTGCCACATCATCACCGAGTGCTGCTGGTGTGTCACCATCAACTTTCTACCATTAGAGCAGATGAACGTGAAGCTTTCATGCTTCATCAAAAGAGATTAGGAATGCACAAATATATCTCCCTAATATAATGATCTGTGGTTCTCTCACTAACTTATAGGGCCTATGCCAAACTCATTTTTATGAGTGACCCACATAGGATGAGTAATCTTTTAGGAGTGGCTTCAGGATATATATGCATATAATATAATACATTGAAACAGATTGCAATTAGAATATCTAATAAAACTCTTTTTGCTGATCTTATGCATGCAGGTTAGCAACTAGATGCATCAAACAACTAGACAGTAATAAACTTGTGCTCACCAAAGTTTTATTCATAAACAAGGTAGGTCTGGGAAGACCATCGAAAAGAAATTTAAGGCTCTTTGGTTACTCATTTAACAAAAAGAGAGAAGGAAACGATAAGCCAGAAGTTCAAACAAAAGAAGGGGAGAAAAATTTGGCATCTAATGCTGTACTAGTTGGTGTTAATTTTTGCCTCATTAACTTGTGACTGTCAGTCTGTTTAGAAATGAAGAAAATAAGTTCTAAGAGGAAATGAAAAGGGAAAAAAATAACTTAGGCCTTCCCTTTTGTATGGTCAAACTAAAATTTCTAGAGAGACAGAAAACTCGGGCAAGAGTGATTTGGTTGTTCTGATTTCTTAGTCTTAATCTGTTGTCCTTTTATAATTTGAGGCAAAAAATTGTTAATCACATTAGGAAACTTGGTGGACATAATTTACTCAAGTTATATTTTCTAGATTTCTTTGATGCTACGGGAAGGAGTTATAATAATGTTGTTCCCCTTTCTCCTACCTTAGCAACCAAAGCAATTATTTGTTATATAATTTTTTTGTTGTCTTTTAAACAGTTACATTGTTATTCTTCCTATATTTTAGTTTTGAGAGTGAGATATTTTTGTGTCTTTACACTACCAATCATTGGATGAAGTCATTGGAGACGACCAAGGATTTTATTGAGAAGTACACTATGGTTATTTTAAATCTTTCTTTTAGTGTAGGTTGCAAGTCTGAAAAAGGAGGGAGGTTTTAAGTGATAGTGATGGCGATTAATTTGACCATTGTTATCACTCCTTAGTATAGATCATTTTCATTGGTGAGGAAAAGACATATGTTGCAGCCTCAAGAAGGTGGGACTTCATGGTTTTTTTTCTTGCTGTTGGTATATCATGGTACAATTCTATATAAAAGACTTGTTCAACAAACCTAAATCTCCGGGAAACAAATACTACCACAATTATAATTAATGCAAAAGAAGACAAAAGATCAGATAGAAGACACATGATTTGGTTATTTGGCAAAGAAGTTCACCACCACTGATGTGATTCTAACTGAACAACCTACTTGATTAACAATAATCATCGTATGTGACCATCTACATATAGGTAGTTGCCTGGATGTTTGTTAAGTTTCAGTTTGGGTATCTGGTACTTCCTGGTGGCTGGTGTTTGGGTTAGGCACTGTGCTCATTAATGAATGCTTAAGGTTGCCCAAGCACCAAAAAACTTGCATGTTCATATGTGGCTTCTTGCTTTTTTAAAATGTTTTTACCAATTACTTTGCATAATCTTTGAATTATTACCATGCTAGTGTCTGTAAACACTTGTTTGCTATGCTTCTACATTGATTTGTTCTCTGGCACTGTTTCATGTTTGTAATGTTATTTAGGAATCAAATTATCTTCAGTTTTTGGAGTATGGGTCATTCAATGAAAATCAATCGTGTATTTAATACTTGTTAACCTGAACTTCATATTTGCTACTAAAAGTTCATGAACATAGCAATATAATGGTATAATCTTATTAGTAATACATATTTATTCATCTCCTAATAAATTATATAGTTTAGGTATGAACTAAAGGTAGTATTTGATACCTAGTCAAAGGTGTCAGAATCACATGGTTGGATATAATAAACTGTTAAGGAGATGTACATAGTGATTTTTTTTCTTTTTCTTCCTTTTTTACCCAAATAGTCATATTTCCAAGCCTTAGGGTTTTGCTTCTGGAGGTTTTGTCATGTATGACTCAAATATGAACAAACAAGCTATGAGGTGATTTTCATGGCCAGTCAACTTTCTAGGATCCTTATTATTATTTTGTGCCCCTCAAAGTCTTAGCTCAAGTATATCCAAACTCTCTGTCATTTTGTATTAGATTTGAGGCACATGCTGAGCAAGAATAATCTCCCATGAGAATTGCTGTGCTGATCAGTACATCTGGCATGCAAAGGGCCCCGAGAGTTGTGTTGGTTATGTTGACACAGGAATGATCAAATTTGGCTTGTTCTATCTAGCACAAGAGGCATTTGGATCAGTATTACATGGTAAATGCTGCTATGCTAAAAAGGTAGCAACATATGTTCCTTTGACTTTATAATCCCACGCCCAAATGTAGAGAAGTTTTTGAATGGCTATCATCATTTAACTGATTATTGTCTCTAGTGCTTTAGACTTTAAGCATAGGAGCTCCATTCCCTAGTATTCTATTATCGGGGAAAGTTCACTATTTGACTTAGGAACAATGATTTAAAAAGCATTATACGTCAAAAGGTGCCAAGGTGCAAAAATGCCCGAGGCGCTCGACGCTCGCCCGAGCGAAACGAGGCGCTAAAATATTAAAATATATAAATTAATTAATAAATATAATTATTTAAAAAAAATATGATATTAAATAAAAAATCTTACATAATCACAATTTCACATTAACAAAAAATCTCAAAATTCAAAACAATAACAATAATTTCAAATAAATAAAAATTAGCAGTATTAAAATCAAAATAATATATTATTAATCTAATAAAAAAAAATATTGTTACTAGTATATAGTTAGTATACTGTTAAGATACTGTTAACGGTGTACTATCAACTCGATGAGTAGTGGGAGTAAGAGTAACAGTAGCAGTAATGGCAGTGGGAGCGGGAGCGACGATAGTGGCAAGCAGCGATAGTAGCGGTTGTGGCAGCGGTAGCAGCGACAGTGATGTAAGAGTAAGACTGAGAGAAGCAGCAGCGGTAGTGGGAGTGGCGATAGTGACAACGGCAACAGCGACAGTGGCAGCGGAGAGCAGCAGCAACGAAGATAGGCAACGATAGCGGAGAGAGGCAGCGACAGTAGAGAGAAAATGTCAGTGGTAGAATCGCGAGCAGGATTAGGGTTGGGGAAGTCGCGAGAGGGATGTTGGGAGGCTGATATCGGTGCTTTGGTTGGTTCAATCGAACCAACTGAAGCACCAGAGACCAAACCAAATGTAAAACACTGGTTCAGTCGCCTGATTTAACCCAGGCGCTCGCTCGAAGCGCCCAACGCTTGGGCTCGGGCGAACGCCTAGGTGACGCCTCTTTGAAGCGAGGTGCTCGAGCCTCACCTCGCCTCGCCTGAGCGCCTAGGCGAGCGCCCGAGCGCCTATTGAAATCACTGCTTAGGAAAGCATCATTAGTGTGATATATATGCAATAAATGATGTAAATTGTTGAGTACCTTTTGAATAGTTTATTTAAGTTATAATTTCTTAAGTAGCACTCTTGATGACTAAGCCTGAATCTCTGGCTGCCCTTTTATTATTTGAAGATGATATTATTGTTCTTTTTTTTTTCCCTTCCAAACTCTCGTTCATGTTTGTTAGCCTTTAGCATAACGTACATCACAAAATTAAAAAAAAGACTCTACATATATTGGCTTGGTACATCTTACTGAATCGTGGACAATGTTCCTTAATAGTCTAAGATTATCTACTGCCAAACTAGTTTCTCTTAGAATTCCATATGGTCATATTTGTTAAGTCCATGGGTATCTGGATCTCAAGGCTTTTGGTGATTGATGAGTCTGGAAGTTTGGTTTCTTTTTCTTATGTTGTCTGATCGATAACGATGTGCGGAGACACAGTACAACGATGCATATTGAAGACTCAACGAGGAAGAAGAAGAAGAGGAGGAAGGAAGAGGAAGGAAGAACGGGAGGTGGTGGAGGAAGAGGAGGAAGGAAGATGAATGAAGAACGGGAGGTGGTGGAGGAAGAGGAGGAAGGAAGAGGAAGGAAGAAGAGGAGGTTGTGGAGGAAGAGGAAGAAGTAGGAGAAAAAGGAATGAAGAGGGGGAAGGAGGAGGAGGAAACATACTCAAAATTGGTGATGTACAGTGGGTGACAGACAACGACCAACATCAGTAGGCTCTGCCTGTATGGCAAGGAAGGGTCGCGAACGTGAGCCCTAAACCAGCACAATTAAATTGGCTTTCTTGTCTTTGTTAATGTTTTATGGGTCGGATCGAACTGCCTGAAATGGGGTTGGTCCGCATATCGGTTCATGCTTGGACCAATACATACCCTGTATACTGGTTTGGTTGAAATGACAGCCTATGGTTTTTGGCATGTTGCCCACATGCAGGATGTAATTTATCTTTGCATCATAAAGGTTATCATTTGGAACTCTTTTAATCGTTGTGTAGGCCTGTTTTCCACGATTTCATGAGTGAAGACATATATACATACGGTGCAAGTACAACTTGGGTACCAAATGATGCAAGCACAAGCTAAACAAATATTATAAAGGATTGAGAGATGGGATAGGTAGAAGATTGTGGTAGCTAGATGGGATTATAATCATGATGAATTTCTGACTGTAGGAAGAGATAGTCCATAAATAGAGTGAAAGGAAAAGGAGGTAGAATACTGTTGTGGGGAAGATGGAGGTCAGAAACAGGATGAAAATATTAGGAATGAGAAAAGGATGATTTAGGACACACTACATAAAAATATATTGTTAACAGAAAAGGTTTAACACTTCCACATACAAGTCTTTCAATTTAATCCCTATTTATAAGATAGATTACTAAGCAAACAAATAGGGGGACAATTCTCTACGTAATCAAATCTTATCAAAATCTTTTGGTAACCTAATGATCATACGATGCACTTGGATACCCCTTTGGACTTATGGAAGTCTAGTTAGCCTAAAGTAACAAACATAGAATCAGATTTTATTAAAAACACCCTTCTTAATTTTTTGAAAAATCTGAACAAAAAATACAGAATTATAAGTGCATTGTATTGATCATTAGGTTTCTTAATTTTAAGAAAATGTTTAGATCCAGTTAAATGTGACTCAATTACAGAAATATAATCATAAATAAACTTGACTTGACCCCTAAACTAAATCTAACTAATTTATACTTTATCTAGGAGTATGGTTGCATCAATGTGTTTATGCAACGGGACCATTATGTGCCAATTGCATTAATGTGTTTTTATATGGGTGAAATTTGTATGCATATATAAATAACACATGTATATATATGTTTAAATCTGCACTGTACAAGTTTACTTGTATAATTGTGTTTGAAATGTATTCTTGATGATACTGAATTTTCTCTAGGTATGTGCCATCTTTTCTGCCACCACCATCTCAAGGAAGGGAATTGGAGAAAAAGGTTAGATGCGACTTCATTTCAAACTAATGCATGTCTAGAATTTTGGGCATTTTTATAATTTGAATAATATTTTACACTGGATATGGTTGCATTAACAAAGTTGTAGCTCACAAATTGATTCTAGAATTGTGCTTAGACAACAAAAGAGTGATTATATTTAATCATTGTCTCATTTTAGTGTTCATCTTCTTTGGGCTTAGCCGTCTATTGGGTTTCTACTGCACATAAGAGTCCTGAACAAACATAAGAACTTTTAGAAAGGATCACAGATTTTTAATTCATGTAATGTGAACTTAGTCAGACCTCTTCTTTTGGATGGACGTAGGATTGAGTTGAATTAGGTTGAAGCTGCATCTTTACTTGAACTTTGTTTAGTGTCTTTTCTTTTCTGCTTTTTGGAGAAGATGACCAAGGAAAACTCCATCAACTATTTCAAAGTTTAGCTTGGGCTGCACTTATTCCATGGTATATCTAGATTAAATTAATTTTGATTCTCCTTTTTTGTTTGGTTGCTAACCCAGCTAACTAATTAGGTTATAAGGCTAGTTCCCTTCCCATTTTTCGTTCTCCCCTCTTTAAGTGGCTTGTTCTAGTTTGGCTTATCTGGGTTTAAAACTAACTTTTTATCTCCACCATCTTGAGTATTAAACCTTCTATTATCAGTTTAACCCTTAGCAATCAACAGAATGTGGTCCTAGTTTTTAAAAATGGCAAATCATGACTTTAGATCTGGTCTGCGCTGACCACACTGGTCCAAAGCCAAGTGGTATAGGGTGTATATATTATTAACTATAATAATTTAAATAAATATTCAATCCTTTTTGCATAGTAGTATATTGCTCAATGGTGGGAGAAGATCCATTTAGCTGACCCAATTAATTGGCACATTACATATTGTTGTTGACTTGTTGCACTCAGCAATATACTGGGGCATAATGTTTGTATCCACTGGCTAGCCAATACTTGGTATAGACTGGCGATGAAATCCTTCTCACTCTATTGTTGACATGATTTTGCACTGACTTAAGATCTAAACTCAAAGAGATGTAAGCTTACTTGGTTGCACAGAAGCAGAGAGTAGAGAAGAAAAAGTTCAGTGAGAAATTTGCTTTTTCTTGTCTGGTTATACTAATTGGAGGAAGAGTGGTGAAAAATTATTTAGGAGAGAATTGGAGAGAGTGAGTGTGAACTGAATTTCTCCAAACCCAATTTTGCTTTCAGAGAAAGGAGTAATTCTTACTTTCTCTTCTATTCATCTAAATGAGAGAGTGTAAAGTGATGTTCACTCCTCTCATCGCTTCCCTTTTTTCCCTCCTTTTCTGGCCTTACTCTTCTCTTTTCTGGTTAAGTTAATAACTAACAGGGATTTAAAAAAAATACTTCTGAATTATGGATGGTGGGAAAATGTCTGAGCTGTCTTTGTTGTCACATGTTCAGTTTGCTGCATGCACTGGCTTTTTCGTGCTAATCATTTGCAAAATAATTTGTCTGGTCATTTGTTTCCTATCATACTTTATATTGTCTGAGATAAATGTTGTTTTAGCATGTATCATGTTCAACAATATAAACAACCAAGCAATACAGAGTTCTTATGCTTAGGGCAGATCCTCCTCTATGATCTGCTGTGCTTTATTAGCTTGACAAAGTGATAAATGTGCCTAGAATCTCTGAAACCCATTTTTGTTACCTGTTGAAGGATGAGGAGAAACCTAGGGAGAAGGAAAAGGGAAAAACACGCCATATTGATAAATTCTTGGAGGAGCTGAAGTTTGAGCAAGAATTGAGGGAGAAGCGAAATCAAGAACGTGAAGGGCGGCATATTGATAATTCTGCTGTAAGTAGTTACTTCAATCATATGTTTTTGAGAAATATTTTACTATTAACTCGGATTTTCTGGTTGGATTAGTAGTTGAAATTGTTTTGCCAAAATTGACATTTGGGGTCTGAATAAAGGGTAAAGGAAAATTACCAGCAATCATCCTCCAAAACAGAAATAAGAAGATGAAGTGAACTAACATGTCAACTGAAACCACAAAATATCCAAAATAAGCTGCCATTTCATCTATTACTCATGAACTTAGTAACATTTGACCTATCCAATGTTTTGATATTTATCTGGATCACCCAGATCAACCAATCAAACTGTTCTCACTACCTTTGTTAAACCACTGGTTATATGTTCAACATATCTTAATGGATTCTGCAATTAGGTTATTACATCTCTGCGAAACAACTTTGTCTATTATGTGTTTTGCTTAATCCTGTATGCAGTTTGTGATTTCATTTTGTGCAACTGTCTTAATGGTTATGTAGTGCGAGATACTTTGGATTGTGGAAATTGTGAAATCATTTTTGCTTACTTTAAAGCTTATGGTACATCCTGCAGGCTCACTCATAACAACATCTGCTTTTATGATGCAAACTTTTTTTGTTGCTTTTATCAACTGCTTTTGCTACTGAAGTACACTGCTATATGTCCTTTATAAGCCCTTTTTTCATATAACCTTACACAGCTGCATAGAAAATGTAGTTATTTTGTATGATGTACATGAATTATCCTTATATTTTGTATTTTACTTTTTTATGGCATATTTGATCTTTAGATGTCATATTAATATTATTTGATATTTTTGATCTTTTTTATTCACTTGATACAAAATCATAAATATAGCTTGTAGTTTGTCACTTGTATTTTTTTTTACCTAACTAGAATAAATGTCATATGCTTGTATGTTTGCTATTTTTAGCAAATGGCTTAAATTGTCAACAAATTTGCATTAGATACCTGCTGTGTCTTATCGTCTTTAATGCCACTGAATTTTTTTTACACTTTTTCAGAATGGTTCTACTCATTATTCTTTTTGATAGATTTGTTTGAATAGTTTTATTGATGTCATGGATCAACCCATGTTTGAACCATGGTTGAAGCACCATCCTTCAGTATTCGAAAAAGCAGCCATGGTTTGCGGGTGATCAAGGTACCACATGGTGCATCTATGGTATAAGGCTGCATGTAGGGGCACATGTGGGCATTTACTTAAATACACAGAGAAAATATAATATAATGTTCAATTTTAAAAAAATTAAAAATGGACAAATATGTGTTGTGGCTAAATCACAAATTTTTCAGGATGATAGTTCTATATTTTAAAGAGTTAAAGCAATAAGTTATAAGAAAATTATTAAGGTGTATCTGGTGAAGGTTATGCCATTTTCATGTCATAACATTAAAATAGTATATTAGTAAAACTGATGCTATTGAGGAGGAAATATAAACCACGTGTGATCACATTTTCTATCACACATTTTCTCATACCTGCACCGAACTGCATTAGCACCCACATTAATGTACACCGTTGCATGTGTGGCTGCATTTGTGGATATGTGGTTACGTATCTAAGTGGTAAATGACCTTTTTAATACAGTGATAGCACATGTATATCCAGTTGCATTGATCGTTTTTAAAAATATTGCCTTTTGCAACTCAATCAGATAAATGTGTTATTGTCTATATGGATTTTAGGCATTGGTACTGTAACCTCATTTATAGCATGCTACATTGATAAAGATTCTTATGGTCATACTCATACTTCCTTACAATTTGTAATTGTCTCAACATGCAACTAACTTTAAAATGGTGAAAGGTCATTAAAACATTTGTAGCCAGTGAACTGGTACCAGTGTCACATCAGAATTTTTGGGTAAGAATTTTTTTCCTAAACAGTTGCCTTGGATACAATAAAAAATGCAATACTAGCTTGAAGAATCTGCAGAGAAATCTTTAAGTAACCTGGGTTTGCATGTTATTGAAACTAAAGGAGAAATCACTCCACATATTACTCTTTCAGATGAGTACACGCACACCTGGAACCGACACTATGCTTGACTGTTTAATGTGTATATATATAGTATGCAACGAAGAAACATAGACACGAACACTACACCTCACAGACACAGCGACATGTCATTTTTAAAAAAATTAGGATATGGACACAGCGAGGACATGTATTTTTTTAATATATATTTATAATATATGATTAACATGAGTTTTATAGTATTTATATATTTAAATTTTATAGACTCAGTAATGTGAATAAATAAATATCATCACACAAGCTTAAATAATTAAAATCATCAAAATCTAAATGTCCATCTAAATCTAAAGATTCATGACCCAACTAATCTATCAGCCAAAAATAACTATGTAAAATCTGAAACAATGCAAAATCTTTAACGACACAATGGCACTCTTTTATTTTCGAGACTATGCAAAATCTGAAACATAATAATAATATTCTAAAATAGGTTAATTAATAGGTTAATAATATGTTAACAATTTAATCAGTAGTAAAAAACCATATTAAAAAAATAAAATAGGTTAATAGTATGTTAACAATTTAATCAACAGTAAAAACCCAGATTAAAAATAGGTTAATAATACGTTAACAATTCAACAGCAGTAAAAAAACCCTGATTAAAAAAATAAAACAGATTAATAATATGTTAATAGTCAAAATAAGTGATTTTTACAAAATCTAAACAAAATTAATTTACCTTTGTCGGGTGCTGGATGCTGTTGAGGAAGAAGCTTCGCCTATAAGGAAGAAGCTTCATTGGATGTTGCTAAGGAAGATGGTTCACTGGACGTCAATGAAGTTGTCGCAGACCCAAGAGCATGGGACGACAACATGGTTGCGGTAGAGGGGTCTCGGGGCGGAGGGTTCGACAATGCAACAGAAGTAAGGTTGCGATAGAGAGGGGCTCGGGGTGGACGGTCCGGCAGGACGATCGCTATAGAGGTGGGCTCGAGGCAAAGGGTCCAATGGCAACGTAGTTGTAGCAGAGGTAAGCTTGAAGCGGAGGGCTCGACAGCAGGGTGAGGAAGAAGGGTTCGGTTGGGTGTTGAGGTACGTAAAGTTGATCCTCTTGGAATCTGTGAGGAAGAAGGATTCCGGATGCTTCTCCTTGCGGTGAGAAATCCTGGTTTCACGATGCCTTTGCTCCATTCGTGGTGAGGAAGAGTCCAACATGCCATCTCGAATCCAACTTAATTAAAAATAAAAAAAATAAAAGAGGATTTAGCTGGACATGTGTCAGATACGTGTCCGGTCATGTCGACGATGAATCTGTGTCTGACACATGTCGGACACTGATACACCACTGAATCGAGCGTGTTCGTGCTTCATAGGTATGCAAACATTTGGTTACTTGCAATGTCTACAAGGGACAATTTTCTCGGAGTTCAAAATGATGCGAATGTGGTCTAGAGTTTATCGGCAAATATCATTCTTCTCTTGGTTTGCAGTGCGCTAATGTGGTGTATTGCAAACCTTCTTTATCAGTTTATCTAACTCAATGGATGCGAATGTTCTCCTGTAGCTTTTTGCTATTTTGCTAAAACCATTACATTGTTTGTCTATTACTCACATATATGCATGTAACCTTATTTTAAAATGTTGTATATGCATATTGGGATATCTTATATAATTAAATTGGTTACTTCTTTGCAGCCGCTTAGCCGTTTTGATGAGCTACCGGATGATTTTGATCCCAGTGGTAAGTTTCCAGGGTCATTTGATGATGGAGATCCTCAAACCACAAATTTGTATGTTGGAAATCTCTCCCCTAAGGTCTGTCATTATTTTTATTTCAAATATTAGTACTACAAGTACCTTTCAAGTGATTTAAAATTGTCAGTCTACTTTCTACCATGTTAGGTGGATGAAAATTTCCTTTTAAGGACTTTTGGGAGGTTTGGACCCATTGCCAGTGTGAAAATTATGTGGCCACGAACGGAAGAGGAACGGAGGCGGCAAAGAAATTGTGGCTTTGTTGCTTTCATGAACAGAGCTGACGGACAAGCTGCTAAGGATGAAATGCAAGGTGCGACTACGTCTGGTCATCAGAAAACAAAAGCTTTTGTTTGAGTATATTCATGTTTATGCATTGCATGTTTCATGCTGCTTTTCTTTATAGGACACATCAAATGCTTAAATTTTCTAATAAGGTGATGAGGTGCAGCAATTTATTTTTTTTCTTACTATTAAAAGATCTTATATGTAGCAATTTATAAATAAAAAAGATCAAGCTCTTGAATATCTGTGCGAGTGACACTTTGTTTTGTGGCTTTTACATTATTATACTAAGCAAAGTTATCTAAGCAATTAAGTGGTTGTTTGTCTTTGTAATATAGAGACTCCAATGCATATAATTGGTTTTTTTAGGTAGAAAAACCAGCACAAAGAAGGGTAAGGAAAGAGGGAGTAAAAAAAAAAGATGTAAAGGGTAGGACGAACAACGTAATAACAAGGAAAGATCAAATGACCATTCTTACTTAATAGATAACTTGATCTTTTACGTGGTTGAACACTAATGAAACTCTGCCTTCGGTGATAAAAATTAATTAGATTATATGCTTCTGGTATAGTAGCAAGTAAAGAGTGGGTTATTTAATGTGTAAAAAATAGTGAACTCAACCATTAATTAGATTAATGCATGTGCTATGCAGTATGTAGGTGTTTAAGCTGAGAACAGTTTATGGTGCTTATTTGGTCAAGCAGGCATTCATGCTATGCCTATGTAGATTGCTGCCAACAAACAAACTGTTTACATACCTTGCCCTGAGTGGTTAACTTGTCTCTGTGCACATGCAATTCCCTGAGATATCACTAACAAAAATATCTTTGGATTAGATTTTTTTTCAAACTTCTACCAAATAAGTCGATTAAGAATTGCCATGTGTGCACCACAGTAGGATGCCTCATGGACAACCATGTGATTAAGCCCCGTGTCATCCTATTATTGGAATAGTAGGATATAAAAATTAACTAAACTCTAGTGCTGATGATCCTTCTCTTCCAAGTCAATGTTTTTAGTGATCTGGGGACTTGTGTTGCCTAACATTGTTATGGACACATTTATGTAATCATTTCTGGCTTCATTTATATTTTAAATGGAATTGGATAGATTTTATCAGGCCCACTTTACCCAGACCAGTGGTTATTAACTTAAAGCATTGATGGATGTTGATATGGATTTGAACAATTCCTAGATTCAGCCTTGAAAATGTACGCTATTTGTTTTAGTTTGTGATCTGTGACTCACCAGTATTGGTTGTTTCTGCAGAAACAGAATATCTGCTTGTTTTCTGGTGGACACTTTTGACAAGCTATTTTAGCTATCTTCTATTGATATCATTTATTAACCTTTACAAAACTGTGCACGTTAATTGCTACTTAGCTTCGATTTATATTTTTTTGCTGTTATAAAGTGGTAGAGAGGTTGAATTCTAGTTCACAAATTAGTTCTTTTTGTAGTTTTACCTCATTTACAATTCTGAGCTTGTATGTTTCAGGTGTAGTTGTTTATGAATATGAGTTGAAAATTGGCTGGGGTAAATCGGTAGCTCTTCCTGCACAGGCACTGCCTGCTCCACCACCTGGTCACATGGCTATCAGAAATAAGGAGGTTCTTTTGCTTTTCTTGAGTTTTCTTTACCAAAATCGTTTTCTATACTTGCTTGAGTTGGTATTCTACTTAATCAAATGCAGAAATTTGTTTTGGTTGGTTGATAGTCAACACATCTCTACTGTGTTATTGGCAGGGCAATACTGTCATAATATCTGGACCCGATGGAGCACCAGTAACAACAACTCAAAGCTCCGAGTTGGTAGGTAACCTACCTAATTAACATTTATGTACTAATCATTTCATCACTTTGGGGAAATGAGTTGCTGAGATTCTTGTTGCTGATGTTTTCACTATTATCCAAGCTTACAGTCCTTTCAACATCTCGTCAACCATTGAGCAATGCTACAAAGCCAAGAGTGTTTGATGTGTGTAATAAATAGAAATTTGCTATTGTTTCCAACTAGATGTGAACAAGCTAACCCTGTTTAAAATTCCTAGGTAAAACTAGGCAGGAGCAGAAGTTACTAAAAACCTAAATTAGCATGCCTTTTACATGTTACTATAAAATCTACAGAGTAATTTTGCAGAATCTCCAGGGTTCTGTTGCACTTGACCTAGGGCAACCCAGCGATTTGTTTACTGTGTGATCCATATTCATGGTATGCTTAAAAAGGCAGAAATGCCTGCAGAATACAAATATGGTCATGTGAAGTTAAATACCTATAAGATAACATGAACAACTTTGGCAACTACGTTGATCGTTTCTAGCATTATTTCTTACTATTTTCTGATTCAGATCATGATAAAATAATTGACATTTTATAGATTTTTTTTAATGCTACTTATAATGATAATGTATTGAGGTATATACATCACATTAATATTTATAAGAGCCTTCTAGTTGTTGTTTTTGATGATAACCGAAAAAAAAGGTTTCTGCCAGTTCATTAGTCCTTCCCTGCTGCTTTCTCCGGTTAACAGTAAAACTGCATCATTTTAGATTTATATATAGAAGTGCTTTTAGGCCATCAAACTGTCATATTAACAAGAATGCACATAACTCAATTGTTCAGTAGCTTGATGCCTGAATATGGTATGACATCTTTTCTTGTATGATATGTGATCTTAATTCTTCTGAAATTTGGACTTTGTAAGCACACTGGTTTTGTAAGTCCATTTCCCTCAGGAAAAAGATATGGTTAGAGATCATTATAAGTTCATCTTTAACTGATTATATTGTCTCTTTTGCATTTGATGGCCAGTTAATAATATCATTTTTGGTGATATTAAGTGTGGGATCAAAGTGTTCCTATCTTATTTGCAGACCATTAGTTTTTCCTTCTGAAAACAAACATATTAAGTGCTTGTTTTTGTTTCTAGGTGCTTACTCCAAATATTCCAGACATCGTGGTTGCTCCTCCAGAGGATGATCACCTTCGGCATGTGATTGACACAATGGCATTGTATGTTCTTGATGGTGGATGTGCTTTCGAACAAGCTGTCATGGAGCGAGGTCGTGGAAATTCACTTTTTGACTTCCTATTTGATCTTCGATCGAAGGAACACACATACTACGTCTGGAGACTCTATTCCTTTGCACAGGTTTATAAGCTTTTTGATACTATTTTCGATGCAGCGGCATGAGATTATAAATTGTTTCCATTATAAATTATTTTGAGAATTTCTAGCCATAGGTTAAATTATTTATTCTGATAAGGAGGTTAGAATGAGTATGCTCCTGACCTGAGAAGAACTCAGATAATAACCTCTTCCAGTGTTTTCTTGAACTCCTCTTCAGTTATCCCCCTTCAAGTGTTTCTTGAATGCCTGAGATGTCAGGATAATTTTGTTTGTCAAGATACCAATTTCACTTTTCTGATGCATCCCATCATTTCTGGTCTCAGGAATGGATACCCATGCCCACTGTGCTAATTGTTATGTAATTGGTGCCAGCAAGTAAAATTTTCACCATCTATACCAACTTATACTGACTCCTCAATAATATTTTAGAATTTTTGTCAGTGGTATACTATTGCACCTGTCTGCAAGCTGGGTGGTATTGGGTGCAGTGTGGTACCTTAATAAGACCATTTTATAAAGAACAATAGAGGTCATGCTAAGCTAAAGATTTTTTTCATCATCTCCTTTTCTAACATGTCCAATACTTTCTCTTACTTAAAGTCGGCAAAAATATATTTTATTAATACCTACTGAATGTCATCATCTTCTCGCTAATGTTCAATATCTTCTTGCTAATGTCAACTGAACATCAACATCTTCTTACTAAGGCAAGAGAGCTAGACAATGTTGTCTCAATTTCTTACTAAATGAAATGGATGTGAGCTATTAAGAACTTCAAAAATCTTAGATTTAATGAAGAAAAGTTTCCTCTTTTGCTCATTGTGTATTCAATATATGATAGTTTTTGTACATTCCATTAACAAAGAAAGCAATAGAAATGTTGAATAGATGTATCTTTCTTTAATATGATGGTAAATCTTTGGTGAGTTCAGTGAGCAATCTGACACGAGAAAGCTGAAAATTCAAGTACACAGACAGTATTCTATGATTCAACAAGAATGCTTTTGTTCTCCAATCTAATGCAATATGCTGTCCTTTGTGGAACTGCAGGGTGACACCCTTCAACGATGGCGGACAGAGCCTTTCATTATGATTACTGGTAGTGGAAGGTGAGTTACATGCATAATTTCATCTTCCATGCAAGTTTCCATTTGCTCAGTATGACTGTTTTCAGTGTTTATTACTGCTTAATTCCTGTACCTTTTTTATAATCATTTTTCTTGTTAGTTCTGATTAGCATTCAGTCTAATCCAAAATGTCATATTCAGATGGATTCCTCCTCCTCTGCCGGCCAATCGAAGTCCTGAACATGATAAAGAATCTACTTCAACATTCGCAGCTGGTAGAAGCAAGGTGAGGTTACTTAATAGAACAAGATAGGATTTTTTCTTTCTTCCGTGAGAATATACTATTAAGAATATCTTCTGCAAGTTTTGCTATGAACTGATATGTGGTGAGGACTACTTTCCCCTGATAGTTCATTTGTCTTGTAGCGGGTTGATTTGGAGCGTGCATTGACAGATCCCCAACGAGATGAGTTTGAAGATATGTTACGGGCCTTGACGTTGGAGAGAAGCCAGATCAGAGAAGCTATGGGATTTGCCTTAGATAATGCTGATGCTGCTGGAGAGGTAATGTACCTTGTGTTACAGATTCATGCGCTAGTTGCACCCCGGCTTCGTAACACTTTCCATGTTCTGCATCATGTAAATGCAGGTAGTTGAGGTCCTTACAGAATCATTGACTCTAAAGGAAACACCTGTACCAACAAAAGTTGCAAGGCTTATGCTGGTATCTGACATCCTCCACAATAGTAGTGCTCCAGTCAAGAATGCTTCTGCATACCGCACTAAGTTTGAAGCCACCCTTCCTGACATAATGGAGAGCTTTAATGATCTCTATCGCAGCATTACAGGAAGGATCACTGCTGAAGCACTAAAGGTAATAATCTTTCTTTGAAAGAAGCATCATGCATAGGCCCTATAGCAGTAATGGTTTGTTACCTGCCATGCCATGCTGTCCTGTGTTCATCCAAGCACATGCCAGGACCACATTTTGTGAGATATTGGTGTGCGATAGTGCTTTTTGCCTATTCTGTGAGCATGCTGCAGCATGCTCGATGCCATAGTCTGCTGTTTTGCTTCATGCCCTTTTTAACTGACATGATACGCGTTACTACATACTTGCAAAATTTGGCACTTACCGACACTTTTGAGGTTTTATGAGCCTTGTAATTGGTATCTCTGATGACCTTTAAATTGTTGCTGCTCATTTGCGTTTGCTGGACAGGAACGAGTTCTGAAGGTTCTTCAAGTATGGGCTGATTGGTTTCTCTTTTCGGATGCATATTTGAATGGGTTGCGAGCAACTTTTCTTCGGTCAGGGAACTCAGGTGTTTTGCCCTTCCATTCCATATGTGGTGATGCGCCAGAAATTGAAAATAAAACAAGTTATGAAGAAACTTATGAAGGAGGTAAGGTTAACCAGGATGCTGCACTGGCAGTGGGAAAGGGAGCAGCCATGAAAGAGCTATTAGGGCTTCCTATGGCTGAGCTTGAGAGGCGCTGCAGACATAATGGTTTATCTCTCTGTGGAGGTAGAGAGATGATGGTTGCAAGACTGCTGAATTTAGACGAAGCAGAAAGAGAGAGAGGTTACGATCGAGAGGACGATATGAAGTATGGGCAAAACCAGTTATACAGATACACAAAAGATGATAGCAGTTGGAATGTTAGTAATGCTGGGCTAAGAGAAACTAATGTTGAGACAGAAAAAAGCCCCCCTGCACTTAATCAGTTTGGTAGAGGAGCAACTTCATGGCATGATAAGGGCTCTATTTCACTAGAGACAGTAGTGGCTCCGAACAAGAAAGAAAAATCTGATCCTGTTTTAGTTTCCAAGTGGAATCGAGAGGATGATGGTAGTGATGATGAAGATAAAAGTTCTCAGGGTTTGGGTTTGAGTTATTCATCTGGAAGCGAAAATGCTGGGGATCTTGGGAAGACCGGTGCTGAAGTGAACATGGATCCTAATGTTCATACTCATCCTGACACTTCTATTAATGAAGAGAAGAGGTGGTTTCTACATGCTTCTTTTAGGAAAAATGTCTTTGAAGTCATCAAGTAATTTTTGTTCATAAAGTACCTCAGTGTCTGTTTTAACAATCTCTTCCTTTTCTTTCCTCCACAGACAGAAGCTAAGACGTCTGGAAGTTGCAGTAGTAGAGTACCGTGAATCGCTTGAAGAACGGGGCCTCCGAAATGCCGAGGAAATAGACAAGAAGGTAGCAGTTTATCGAAGACAGCTTGAATCTGATTTTGGTTTGTCAGATACTACAGATGATTTAGGGAGCAAGAAAAGTTCATCTGGTAAGTGCATCAAGGACCTAAAGTTACTTTGAAATCCAGAGTATAACTAGTTCAGCTTCTGGGTCATCCATTTTGTCAAAAGAATGCCATGCATTTTATGTTATGGATGTACTTTTCCTGGAAGAGTTAAAAGAAAATTTGATTTTTTATCATGTTCATGGAGGAAGGTGATGACTGTTCATGTTCTATTTACTTTATATCTTTGACTTGTTTTTAGATTGCAAATTATACTTGTGGAGCCTAGCATGGAACCATTTGTATAGCTTTCGGAAGAAGTCATTTATTATCTTGAAAAATTGGCATGCTTATTTCCTTTTTAGATAGAAGGAAAGTTATCTGTCTAAACGAAAAAGACTGATTGGCAAGTTATGAAGTTAAAAATAATGCACTTCTAACAATAACGCTGTTACACTACAAGCCAGGCATTTGTGGTTGCTATAATATGACAGATTCCCTACAGGCACTTCTAAATATGTTTACTAGCTTGCTATGCACATTATCTTGCATAGAGTTTCAAGGTTAACATGCACATTATTAGCATGGTTCATCTTCTTTTTTAAGTAGGATTGAAGTTCTTTGATGTTGCTGGATTTATTTATTTTTTTCATTCGTTGCTTATGGACTTGGTTCTCTTCTGTTAGCTTTGGGATATGTGTTCAAATGACAACCATTGAAATTGCAGAAAGGAGATCTTCTGAAAGGAGGGAGAAGCGAGATGATGTCCGTGATGCAACCAGGAAGCGACGTCGCAGCCGGAGTCATAGCCACAGTCCTGAGAGGAAGCCATCAGAAAGGGCTCGAGAAAGACACCGTGATAGAGACAGGTCGCATGAGATTGAGATTGGGAGAGAAGGTTCACGTGAGAAGAGCGGGAGCAGAGAGAGGGATGATCATCACAACCGCGATAAGACTAGGGACAGGGAGAAAGATAGGAGGAGAAATGAGAAGTGAGCAGCTGAATCCAAAGCAGCAATTGGCTTCCAGAAGACAGATTGTTCTCAAAGGTATTTCAGATGTTCTCATCAAGGTCTAGATTGTGCGTCAAAACCTTTGCTTCAAGGACTTTGGATGTGGAAGCAGGCCTTCGTTTTATTGATGTGAACATCACTTGGGTCAACTTGGTCTCAGAGGGATTATGGAAAGACCCTCTTCCATCACAATATGTAAGCTCTCCTAGTCGCAAGCTTTGTTGAAAATAATGCCTCTTATGCTAAGAATGGAGTAGTTTGCATATCTGCATTAGTTTATGTTATGTTGGACAAGTTGTTTGTAGAATTCAAATTTGCCATATTAGCCGGTGGTGAGTTACGGTTGATCAGATGCGAGCTTCTGTTTTCATATTTGACAACCAATGCTTGTCGAATTTGTATTGGAGATCTAACCTTTGTTTATTGTATAATTGAAAAAAATCATGGCGAGCTTTCCAGTTGGTTCAAGTTGTTGACTATGATTATTATGGCAGTGCTAGGTTTTCAAGGCGAGAGATTGCTTCTCCTAAAACTGTTAAGAGTCTTCTTATGGTACAAAATGATCTTCACAAGCATGTTTAGAGAAGCAAAGTCTGCATTTATGATTGGTCTCTCTGCCACTTGTTACGATAGATTTCTATTATTCCAAACTTAAATACATCAATGGATACCGTCTGCAAGAGTCGCCTTACAGATTGGTATCTGAAGGATTTGTAATGCTGCTGCTTCCGGTGAAACTTAAATTCAAACAAACGGCTCAAAATCGAACTCCATTGTCGAACAAGGTATGCCAACTCATCATTGTTTTTAGAGTCTACACATAGATTAGCTCATATTCATAATTTCATCTGTTTAGCTTTTCTGAGTTGATTTCACAACGTGGTCCTGCCAGGATTGTCGGTTCACTCGGACTTGGGGACAAAAGAAGGCCATGTGAGATGTTGATTAAGGTGAATACACCACAAGTGAAGGATAATACACCACAAGTGAAGGAATGTGGTTAATAAACGAGAAAATAAATAAATAAGAACGACGTACAATAGCATACCTTTTGTGCAAATATAATATGGTTCACCAAAATGCTTGGCCTTCAAAGCTGTTTGATTAAGGAACCTACAATATATATATATACATATATATTTCATCTTCATACGTTAATTTGCAGGATTTTGTTTACCTCCGAGCACTTTTGTCTGCCTCAGCTGCTGAGGCGGCGCATGCCGAATGGATGCCATGAATGATGCTGTTCATTATCGAGCAAACTCAGAGAACAGAGTGACTGCAACGCCTCATCACAGGAAACACCAGATAGATAGATAGATAGATAGATAGATAGATAGCTGTCATTGCTGAAGCACTTGACCCTGCAATGTTGCTCATCATATTATCTGCCCACTGGAGAATCTGAACCATATAATAAAATAATAGCCTGATCACAGCGGTGACCAATCCGATCAACACATTGACAAGAGACTCATGTGTCGTTCGATTACAGCAGATGGCAGAGTTCTCGACGGCGAGAAATAGTCATTTGGTCTCGGAGCACTCGGAGCCAAACACCATGCAGCAGCAATCAATCTGTTGTAATAATGGTCACAGCCAGACCTCATCTCTACCAGGAACTTTGTGCAGCACTTATCACAGTGAAACCAACCACGGGAAACACGAGAGAAGAAGGATAGCTTTTGTGCAGCCAGTTCTCATGTCTACTTCTCAGCCTATTTAATGGGGGCAACAGTGACTTGTGCACAGCGATTGCCCTTCGAGGACTTCCGTTCAAAGTTGTCTGCAGTTCAAATGTCTCATCAACAGGACACACGCAACTTCTTGGGAAGTGAGGGTTTTCGTGGGCAACTACCTCGATGACGGACAGACACCCTTCCTTAAAAGCGAAACACACAAGAAAGAGAAGCAAAGTCTTCTGTTCCATACTACAGATACATATGCAAATGGAATCCTACAACAGTAGTAGTGTTCAAGAATTTCTTGTTTATGCCATGTTGACCACTCTGCTAAAAGTTTTACGACTTGCCTTGCCATGTTGATAAAAATGCTTCCTCTTAGAATCAAGCAGCCCCAAGTCTTCCAAAGTCAACTTTTATTTGGAAGCATGGAAGGATAACATCCCTTAATTCTAAACCATGAGTCAATCTCGTATCATCCATCATCAAAATAATAGCTTCCCTACAATCTTTCATGCCATTAAGCCTCAATCTGATTTTCTAGTGGTCAAAAGCATTGCTTCCGCTTACCTATTATCTCATTATCTATTAAATAAAATAAAATGTCTTATGCATAATAATAAATTAAAACTATTTAGAGTAAACTATCGATAGGGTAGATAGATATCGGTGATGCTTGGATCGACATCAATTTAAGAAACACATGAATTTTTTTAAAAAATTATAATAAATATAGCATCGAGAAGATAAAAACATATGGTTATTAGAAGCCTCGAAAATACGTTTGTGAATAATAGAGAGAAAAGTGTGACAAATATGATGGATGTAAATTTAATAGTTTCATCTTACGATCTTTATCTCACCATCTGAAATCGTTTCCGGTGGGTAATTTTGACTTGCCAAAGTCATTGACAAAAAGGGGTTCATCGAAAGCACATTGCATGTTCTAAACATTAATTCAATTCCACACACGTTTCGACACTTACCTAATTCCGATTGGACCAAGTCGATCGATGATTACGGCCATGGGTTAAATATGAAGGAAGGAGGTCAAATTTCGTATACACCCCTTCCGAAGTAATTGATTTCATATCCATCCATCCTTCAGATATAAATGTCGGTACATAAATCAATTTAAAGTGCCTAATTTCGCTATTTTCGTATCTTGCAAGGATGGATATGTAAAAAGTGCGTAAACACCGTAAATAGTTGCTTTGGAATTGCTTTACCTTCAAGCCTTCCTTCCTTTCTACCGATTCCCAAAACGAGAAGGGAATAAGGCGGAGAAGCGTCCGTGTGCGTGTTTTTATTTCCTTCTCAATCCGGCCAGCCTCTCCCTTTCTTCATCCGATCGACACACGCACGACGCCTCCTAATCCCAATCTTTATCCCACCCCTGCAAGTAAATCCGCTCCCGAGAGGTGGAGAGGGAGACGGCTTCTAACAAATCCGCCGGCACTGCCACCTGGGAAACGTTTTGGATTCGGTCTCATCCATCGATCTATCTTTGATTCCGAGAAATCGTCGATTTCCCTTCGCATACCCTAGCCTTTTTTGCTTCGATTGCTGTGGCACAAGAACCCTGTTCTCTCCGTCTCCCATTTTCTTTTCTCCCCCCCTTTTCCGACTTCCGATTCCTTTCTTCTTGATTTACATACAGCCGAGGCTGGTGGTTGTGGGATTGGGGATCGAAGAGAAAAGGGTTCTTTTGGCCATCGTTCTGGAAAAGTTTGGATTTTTAGCGGCTGGTTTCGGTTCTAGGGTTCCGGTTTTAGGGGTGGAGGGAAAGAAGGGAAAAGGGGGAAGGGCAAGGGAGGAAGATGAGTTGCGGGTCGGCCGTCACCTCCACCACCAACGAGGGGTTCGTCCTCGGGCGGAAGCTCCTGGTCCACGTCGCCGAGAACGGGCACAGCTTGGAGTTCGAGTGCGACGGCGCCACCCCCGTCGAGGCCATCCAGCGCTCGATCGAGGCCCTCTATGGCGTCGCCATGGCCGACCAGCTCCTCCTCTGCCGCAACACCTCGCTGGACGCGCAGCAGTGCTTGTCATACTACAAGCTTCCGCAGGACGATCGCGAGGTCTTCCTATACAACAAGACCCGACTCCACGCTGACTCCCCACGGCCACACCCCGAAGCCATTGACGCCCCGAAACTCGCCCTCCCTCCTCCGCCTTCCCGGACCCAGGATTCGCACCCTTTGGACAATGCCCCGGACCCGGCCCTCAAGGCATTGGTCTCTTACGAGCGCCAGTTCCGATACCATTTCCAGCTCGCAAATGTTGTGTATACATGCGCTCAGGCAAAGTTGGAGATCTGCAAGAGGTTGCTGAGGGAGCAACAGGTGCAGGGGAGGGCATTGGAGACGGCTCGAGGCAATCTGGAACACACGTACAGGAAGCTACACCAGAGGTACACGGAATTCGTCAAGTGCTTTTCCCAGCAGCACAGGAACCATTCCGAACTCCTGGGTAATTTCGAGAGGGACTTGGAGAGGCTGCGGTCCTTGAAACTCCATCCGAGACTGCAGTCTGGGAACCGCAAGTGCTTGTTTGATCTTGTGAAGGAGGATGACCTGAGAAAGTGGGTTGATGTCTGCTTCAATTCCCACCGGCAGTTTGAACTTAAAGTTTCGCAGCTGAAGACAAACTTTGGGGAACTCAAGAGAAAATTGGATAGTCTACTCTCATCCATGAACTCAGCTGGTTGGGGAGAATTGGAACATGCAATTAAAAATCATCTGAAGGTTCTTAATGACCAGAAGAGTGTAATGCAGTCATTGAGGTTAGATTATTATGCTTCTTTTAGTCATTCCGATTTAACATAACCACTTGAGCCCCAGATCACTATTCTTTCAATTAAACCAAAGTGACTTAATATTTATTCACTTGACAATAATGCTTAGCAGAGATTTTAATGGCAACATTGGATGATAGTTTTGTCATCTGAAGATTTCATGGCCGTAGCAAGTTTGTGAGAAAGGTTCTATTGGCATGCCGCTTGAATAACCTTTGTAGCAATTCTATATGTGATCGGAAGTTTTATAATTTCTATACTTGTTCTTTCTTTAATGTTTAAATGTAGCTTACGTGCTTTTTTAAAGGGTATTGATTCACATAATACTCGGGTGAAAGACTATTTTTTACTCTCTGTATTCCATTTAATACTCACATGGCACAACTGTAATTTAAACGGACAATTAAGTATATGCTTACATGGTGAGAGGTTCTACATCCTTCATTTTGGACCATGTAAACTGATTACTTGAGATAATAAAGATGAGATGACAAAAACACACTCCACTATAAAAATTCGAGTGAAAAAAGTTCCTTATGTAACTGTCACAAAGTTACAATGCATGCATAAAATCCTTGACCATTTACTATACAATTCTACTCATGTTTCACATCTTTTATGGGTCAGGTCTTTTAGAAGCTTTGCATGCACAGTTAAACTGATCTTATCTTCTTCTTTTTCTCTATTTTTCCTATCCTTAGCATGAGCATTCTCTTGCTCATTTTGAAGAGATATTTGGTTGAACATGCATCTTTTTTACTACATGGAAAATTTCCTTCCAATTTTTTTCTCCTTTGTTCAGACTCGTTGACTTATCTTTAAGCTTACCTTGCCTTCTCTCTCTGCCCCTCCATCCATCCATCCATCCATCCCTCGCTCTCTCCCTCCCTCTCTATTGTTTGGGTGTTGGGGGGAGTCTTTTCTCTGGGTTGAAGAGTCATCAATTCTATATATGTTAGAATGTCCCATTTTCTAGGAGTTC